TTGGAAAAATAACTGCTCTCAGAGAAAATCACTGAAAGTTGTAGCTGTTCAGTCAGTCAAGTATCAGAACACCTGCAGCTGTTGGAATGGAACCCAACCCCAATTTAGAATATTCTGGAACTCAGCTGCAAGGAAATAAAACTCATATTAATGGATCAATTATAATTATTTAAATATACAATAAACTGAATTATACATGCATTTTGATGGTTCTTCAGTAATTATAATTGTACAGGTAGAATTATCTTGCCATTCTAGGATTCAAACTTATTATATACTCTACAGTGTCATAGCAGTGATATTTGAAAAGTTATTACGGCAGCAAAAAGTAACAATTAAGATGTAGAACTATTGTCAAAATGGCAAATTTAATACACCAAAATTAACTTTAAGATAGAGATAATTCAATTTAAGTCAATACTTAAGTGAGTCACAGTTAAGAATTCATAAAACGTTGGAAAAGGAAGCTGGGCAAAGTCATGATCATAAATACCTGTCGCATTAAAACAGCTCTAAGGACATCTATGGGCGGCCGTCACCACCAAAAATACAAGGATGTCAAATAGATCAGCAAATACAAAGATGGTGTAAGGATCAGCTGCAGGATAGCATAGCTAATAAAGGAATGGCATGGCCAAATTATAGACAGTCTAGTTTTCCTTCGTGAAACAGAACACCCTAAACATGAATAGTTTAGTCAAATGAGAAACGGTCTAGTAGCCCATGTTGAGTTGGAACATGAGATTGTGAAATGGACTAGCTCAATTACGAATAGCTTAGCACTCATTTGCATTACAGTACTCAAACGGTGTAGCGTTGAGTTAAACAGCTCAGGGTAACGTCGAGTAGCACAGCGTACGCACAAACGGTGTAGCGTTGCGAGAAATGGCTCAGCGTAATGTCGAATGGTACAGCGTACATAAAAACAGTGTAGCGTTGTGTGAAATGGCTCAGCGTAATGTCGAATGGTACAGCGTACATGCAAACAGTGTAGCGTTGCGTGAAATGGTTTAGCGTAATGTCGAATGGTACAGCGTACATACAAACAGAGTAGCGTTGCGTGAAGTGGCTTAGCATAATGTCGAATGGTACAGCGTACACACAAATGGTGTAGCGTTGCGTGAAATGGCTCAGCGTAATGTAGAATGGTACAGCGTAGACACAAATAGTATAGCGTTAGGTCGAATAGCTTTGCAAAACATCAGACGCTCTATCTGAACATTAAATTGCTTAGTATTACTTGAAATATTTCGATGTTGTGGCGAATTGTCGTGGCGTGACGTGAAGGCTATGCCATTCCTTTATTAGCTATACTATCCTGCAGCTGATCCTTAAGCCATCTTTGTATTTGCTGATCTATACGACATTCTTGTATTTTTGGTGGTGACGGCCGCCAAGGCATCTCGCCGAAACCACCAAAAATTCAAATCGCAAATGGAACAGCGATCTGCTGGGGGTATGACGTCATCGAATGTGAAGACTGACACGAAACCATTACATGGCGTAGTATAGTCTTCACTTCGCTTTGCCGTAAAGCAGAACCAATTTGGTAAGTTTCTCCTCTTTTTTCACTGCTGATATTGCACTTATTCGTTGTCGTTCATGAAAGCGTCAATTAAAATCGCAACGAGACTGAATTCTACCACGGTTTGCCGGCCTTCCGGTTTACCACAGTTTGCACGCGTTGGTGGGCCTGAACATGTTTATAGTAATAAGTGGTGTTATGACGTGCATTAAATTCAATTGTCGAGCTCTCTTTTCTTTCTCCGACTCACGCTTACTTTTCAATGAGAGTCCAACTCAATGTACAACGTTTCAATCAGGTTTAAGTAAAATTTCATATCGGGTGTCTTAGCCTTAAAATTTCGGTTAACTTACATAACGACTATTTCTCCTGGCCGAGATGCTTTTAAATGCGGTAAATTTAGCTTTAATTTGCAAACTGATGTCGATTAAACGATATCCGTTACGTTTAAATTAATGTACTCTGTACAAGCATCGATTTTAAAAGAACATAATTAAATAAAAATAATTGAAATAAAACAAACGAACAACCAAACAACAGAGAGATACTGGAAAAACAAAGAATTTATACGTACAGCTTCCTATAAATAAACAGGGACATGATGACATAGGCAACTTTCACTTTCATGATGAAGCATTAAAGGCTGCTGATCTTATATTTACGTAAACAACTTTTTCAAATACCAATCTACAAAAATCATTTATACAGCTCTAAACTGTGCAACATGACTTTTTCTCAAGCGAACACGAGTAAGAAATCTTGGACATCTCGTAAAAACCATCTAAAAAATGCATTCTCGCTTAAGTTGGCAGACCACAACCTTACCTCCATCTTTAATCGACGATTGCAGATGCTCGTGTTTAACGAAACTGAGTTATAACTGTTTACAACTTCAACTTGGCTGGGTGAAATTTACATAACGAACTGTTTTAAAAGTTCAGAGCCGGGCTGAAAGGAGGAAACACAAGGATTCTTTCGTTAAAATGTTAACTTCACTACATCGGTCAGTTGATTTCTCGAGGGAACTCTGCACTCCACTGCCACTCAAGCTTGCTAGTCATGTGATAAGCCACAAGCCGGAAGTGCTTGATGTTTCAAAAATATGTTTCATTGTTATTGATCGCTCCTTGTAGTGGAAATAGTTTGGCTCAACATATTATATATGACCCTTATGCCACAAAAAGAAAGAGAAATGTTCAGTGAAATACTGGAGTAAAACCATTCCGTGACTCCTTGAGGACATGTTGAATGTTGCGTGACAAGTAATTGTGCCAAGTCACGGAATTGAATTCTCAACTTCACTGACATTTTATGAGCACACAAGGTTGGAAACGATTGCAATTCTGTGAAATTATTTCCGTTTTGGTATTCACCAAGATCTGCCCATTGTACCAGAGATGAGGTTCACCTCCGCAAACCGTTGCAGTATCTCAAATCAGTTAGTCTACAAAACATGCATAAACGACTAGACTATTCTACCTCATAATAAGAGGACGAAAGTTATTCGAGCAACACGAGTATAATTATAGACCGAATTGGACGTCACGAAGTCTCATTGCCAATTAAATTCAATCATAAAAATGACCATTTCCAAACAAAATCACACAAACGTCTTCCAAAATATTGTCATAGTTTATGGGGAAAAATTCTCTATTTTGAAGAAAGCCCCAATTTAGGGGTCTGTACACTGTTTTTATGGTGATTGAAACCAAGGTTGTGACTGGTTGATTTCAATTACAACTTTTGAATGCGATTAGCTTATTGAACTTTCCGATAACAACTTGGCAAGTAAATTAGTGGAAAACACGAGTTTTTTTTTATACCAATCACAATCGAGGAAATTGTGATTTTTTTATGACTACAGTGGATAAAAAAGAGTAACGCTAGGCATTCATGAGGGAAAGCAAAGCTTTACAAGAACAGTTCCTGGCATTCTAAGGACGCAACGAAGAAATCATGAAAATGGTTCAAAATCTTTCTGACCGAGCCGTTCAGCAACAGAAAGAAAGAGAGGCTTTTCGTCAACAGATGAAGAATCAAGCTAATCAAGACAAGGAAGATTTAAGAAAAGCGTTGAATGAAAAACACGACAAAGAAATGAAGGCTCTTCAGGATGAATTGAACGCGAAGTCAAATGAGATGGCTGAGCAAGTTCCAGGGGATGAGGTGAGGAGTGGTGAAACGACTGAATTGATTCATAAAAGAACCAGCGGCAAAGAAGCATAGCAAAGACTCGAGAGAGACAACAAGAAATAGAAAAACCCAGACTTTTGGAAGAAAGCTCTTGAAGGTGTAGGGAAGATTGTCCCTGTCCCTTGGTAAAGTTGTTTTTGCTTCTGTACCGATTGTAGCACCGCTTGTTTCAAAAAACAGCATTTCTTGTGATCAATCAAAATGAAGAAATGTTTGTTGCAATTTGGAATAAATGTGCATTCATAATTTAATTCAAAGACTGCAAATTGCACTTGTCTTACTGACCCGCGCAATTTTGTTGATCGTTGAAAAATTTACTCGTGCTTATTTCTACAAATAGCACTCGAAATCATGTGATTGCCTGTACAAATAATTGCAAACTTTATTTTGTTTTCTGGACATAAGCGCGTCATGGAACGTAGCAACTGGAGAATATATTAAACCAGAGGACAGCATACGTCACTGTATGTGGTGGAGGAAGCGCTGAAGAAACTTAAGACTGTGAAAGGTATGCTTACTGTCCATGTCTTCATGGACCTTAGTTTTTACATAAGAAGTTTTACTTTTTATGAATGTCTAAGCTCCTACTGGGCGCAATGGGAACTGCACACATGTAATCATGAAATAGATAAGAGGAGCGTCATGTCTACCCCACTTGCCTGCATCTAACTAGGGAAGGGGAGGGTGGGGAGACTGATTT